CCCGCCCCGCCCGCAGCGCGGCGCGCGGGGGACGCGCGCAAGCATCATAGAGCGGGCGCGCACAGAGCGGCCCTCCCGCCCGGGGCGTGGCCCCGGCCGCCGCCTCTTAGGTCCTCCAAGCGCTCGGGGTGGCCATCTTGTCTCCGCCCCATCGAGGCCACGCCCATCGTGGCTCGCCCCGCCCCCAGACCGCTCTAGCCCCGCCTCTTGGCGCGCCCTTCCGGGTCCTGAGCCCTGGGCCAGCTCTGAGCCGGCCAGGCTAGGAGGCCGGGGCCACCAGGGTGGGCCAGTCAGAGAGAATGCGGTTGTCACCTTGTTCCTATAGGGTCGAGGCCTTCCATTGTTTCTGTGAACAGTGTTTACGGCCCAGATCTCGTGTTGTTTTTACTAGATCACTCCTTCCCCCCTCTGCACCTGGGACCGCAGGTGCATGGAGCAGACCATGACCACGGTCAGCTCCCCTGACTTTCAGAACGGGAAGGGGGTGATGACCTGGAATAGTCCCTCCAGTCCTGAGGTGCTTATTATTTCATTCTTAGCCCATAACTGAACATGAAGTGTTTACTCTTTGAATCCACCAAGAACTTATTTACCAGCTTTCAAGGGTGGTTTTGGTTTTTTTTCCTTGACTTCATCATCACAAAAAAAAAAAAAAATGACCTTTGACTTGGGAGATACTTCTTTATGTGGCAAGTTTAAGTTAGCCTATTACAGGATTTATAGCCCATTATGTGTAGCCTACTATAGAATTTATCGGGATCAGGGGTAATTTTAAAGGATAACGATAAGTCGATCCAGGAAAGTGATTTAATTTTTTTATTTCGCAAATCCATTTATTTTCTTTTTTCTTTTTTTTATAAGCTTTTTTTATTGTGAAAACACTGAAAAAGAATCCTATCTTTTTTTTTTTTTCAGAAAGGATATCTCACTATGTTTTTTAGGCTGGCCTAAGCTCCTGAACTCGTCTCCTACAGCCTCAGTAGTTCCTTCAAGTACTTCTTCCCACTATGCCACCGGCTTACATAAGAATTGTATACCTGTTTAATATTTATAGAAATGTGTCACTGAAATTCAAGATGATAGATTATGAAATAGTTGGAAGACTGAAAAGTAGAAAGCATACTTTTTATGACAAACTAGGGTTTCTAAATGCATAGAACCTAAATGCTGAAGACCTAGTTTAATATATATATATATATATAATGAAAAATCAAATTTTATTTGCTTTGCCTCAAAGTGCAAACATTAACTCATACACACACAATGTATCCCTGGTTTCATTTAATGTCCTTGATTAGAATTGCATGATCCTAAGCCATAGCTTTCTACAGGAAATGTATCTGGAAATAAGAGAGAGAGAAAAAAAAGAATGTTCAACTGGAGTTCTCAGGCATGAAGTCATTACTGGAAATCTAAATATTTAGTAATCATTAATTGGTGAAGGTAGCAATTGAAGGACCCTACTCTGCAGTTCCGTGGTAGAGCCGAGTGTAGTGTGCACAAAGCCCTGGGTTTGATCCCTAGCGCTGCAATAAACAAGAACTATTAAGTAAATCTGAATAGAAACAACAGTTGAAACAACAGATGGGAAAAAATATAGTGTTGGTAAATTCACCTTGCTAGGTTTGCCTATTGAAGCAATAGATCAGATAAATAGCATATATAAAAGCATAAAAGTAGTAAGTAACTTGAACATCTGGTCTTTTTTTTTTTTACTTCTACAACCAGATTCCATTTGCTAAATCCCTGTAGATATAATACTCCTCTGTTATAAAAAATCAATTCAGCATTCCAAAAGCTTTTCAGTCACACTTGAATTTTTCTGCTATAATACCACAGAGAAAAATACCAAAAAAAAAAGAAATCAGACACTCTAGTCTCTGCCATTAAAAGAAGAAAACATCCCTATTAAAGAAACAAAATATATAGAGACCAGATTATAACCATAAAAATACTGAGGGTATATGCTAAATATGTTTCTCTTCAAATACCAGATGAAACTTTTATAATTCTAGGAAATGCATTTTATATTACTTCTCAAAGAAGCACAGTGATATTATAAAGTTATGAGCGAATTTTGTGCTTTTTCTTTTTCTTACAATGAATAATATATCTCTGGCTTATTTTATGGAAAAAAAAAGATGAAAACAAGCCTGGATTATGTATGGCATCTGGCTCCCTCGTCAAACAATAGAGTTAATCTGCTCCCATTACTGATCCCAGGTGTAAAGGCAGGTGCTCCCATACCAACTGTCACTCATGAAAAACTATCCAATCTTTCATTTTTAATTTAACATGCAGAGCTAAGGTTAAGCCACTAAAGAAGTCATTTTTGAGAAAAATAAGTGTTCACTTCTATATTATCATAAAAAATAAAAATTACAATGAAAAGTTTTCAGATTTTTAAGAATTATTTTTTTTAATGTAACAAATTCAGAGAATGAAATTTAATTGGTAAGAAGTAATGACTAGATTTTTTAGGTGTATTTTATTGACAAATGGATAACATTTGAATCCTTGACTGTAATAAACTACTGAACTAAAAAGACAAATATTAGAAAGCATTGTGTTTTCCAGTGAGCATGCTTGAATCAAGTGGTAACGGCTGTCAGTTTCTCTTTCTTGCTGAGTTCAAATGGTAAGGGTCAGAATTTATACCACAAAATATAGGAGTAAAGACACAAGCAAAAAGACAGTTTACAATTAGCAGGTCTCATGATTCATTCAGTTGGCTCCACTACAGATCACCTAATTCCCAACTGAAGAATGCCGCAGCCGACACAGCACGTCAAGGGCCCAGATGATACTTTCAAGTACATGTAGCTTTAATAAAGATTTTTTTTATAGCCTCTACTTGGAATGACTACAAAGGAATCTAGCATCACATAGTTCAAACTCAGAAGAAAAGAGTTAATTATCTAAAAAGCAAGCAAAAACAAGAAAGGATAGGTAAGTTTAGAACAAAAGGATTTTTTTTTTTTTGGTCAATCGTGGGGCTTGAACTCTGGGCCTGGGCGCTGCCCCGAGCTCTTCAGCTCAAGGCTAGTGCTCTACTGCTTAAGCCACAGCGCCACTTCCGGTTTGGGTGGTTTATTGGAAATAAGAGTCTCATGAACTTTCCTGCCTGGGCTGGCTTTGAACCGCGATCCTCAGATCTCAGCCTCCTGAGTAGCTAGGATTACAGGCGTGAGCCACCAGCACCCGGCCAAAGGAAATTATTTTAAGAACTAATGTATTTTTCTTCTAATTTCTCCTTGTTGTAAGATTAGCCATGTTTGAGACTAAAAATTGAAGCTATACTAATTTGATTCTACTCCCTACAAGTAAAAATTGAAAAATAAAAAAGTGCTGCCAGAAGAGAGAAAATGATCTTTAGGTTTTAGAGCCCTGGGATACCACTTGATATACCGGATGTGGTTTTGGACTGTAATCCTGGCTAAAAACATCAGCATGTTAGGACCCATGATCCCTCAGAAACAAGGATTTTGTGCTCAACTCATGCCAGCCACTTTGGAAAGTTCCAGACCAGCCTGGACACACACACACACACACACAAAAGATAAAAAGAAAGAAAGAAGGAAGGAAAGAAAAAAGGAAGGAAGAGAAAGAAAAAGAGAAAGAAAAAGAAAAATCAATAACAAAGTGACCCAAAAAAGAATGCTGGGGCTGGGAAGGTGGCTCAGTGGTAGAGTGCTTGCATTGCACACATGAGGCCCTGGGTTTGATTCCTCAGCACCACATAAGCAGAAAAAGCCGGAAGTGGCACTGTGGCTCAAGTGGTAGAGCGCTAGCCTTAAACCGAATAGCTGAGGGGCAGTGCCCAGGCCCAGAGTTTAAGCCCCACAGCCCACAAAAAAAGGAAAGGAAAGAAAAGAAAAGAGAAAAAAATGCTGGTGTGTGTTCTATATCTACATTGAATGAAAAAAAAATAACAGTAAATTGGAAAACACATTTCATCAAAAGAGACTTTGTGTCTGTAGGTGGTTTTCCCAGTGTTGTAGACTCTTATCAAATAACAGAACTAAGTCCAGAACCCAAATCCTGACCCAGGTTCAGATCCTGTCTGCTTGGCTGTTGGAAATGGCCTTACTTTGCCTGGTTTCTTTATCCTTAATTTTCTGTCATTTAAGATGGGGAAAAGCTTCGCTTCAGAGCTTTTCATTTGGCTAGTTTCTGTTCTTTGTCTCAAGCTCAGTCAGTCAGTACTCTGTCCAAGAAAACTTTCCTAACATCCTCCACACCCTATTCCCCTACAAACACCCAGGTGGTATTCTGTGTGCCCCACAACTCTTAAGTATTTCCCCTATCCATTTATTGTACTGCATTCTCGTTATCTAGTTAACTTCTTTCTATTTTCCACTGCATTTCCAGTGCCTATTATTGGACCTGTCAGGAATATGGGAAAGACTCATCAGATTGCTGATGAATTAATACAACATAAAAAATTATGAGCTCTCGGGCTGGGAAGGTGGCTCAGTGGTAGAGTGCTTGCCTTGCATGCCTGAGGCCCTGGGTTCAATTCCTCAGCACCGCATAAGAAAAAAGAAAAAAGCTGGAAGTGGCACTGTGGCTCAAGTGGTAGAGTGCTAGCCTTGAGCTGAAGAGCTGAGGGACAGCGCCCAGGCCTAGAGTTCAGGACCCACACCCGGACCCAAAAACAAAAAAACTATGAGCTCTCCGCTAGGTGCTGGTGGCTCACACCTGTAATTCTAGCTACTCAGGAGGCTGAGATCTGAGGATCATGGTTGAAAGCCCAACCAGGCAAAAAAGTCTGTGACACTCTTATCTTCAATCAGCCACCAAAAAAAACCAGAAGTGGCTCTATGGTTCAACACAGTAGAGTAGCTTTGAGCACAAAAGCTCCAGGTGAGTGTCTAGGCCCAGAGTTCAAGCCCCATGACCAACAAAAAGAAAAAAAATATTAACATCCTTCTAGTCTCAGAAAATTTGGATAGGTTTCACAATTGTTTCACAAAACAATAAATTTAATTTAAAATAAGCCTTAAATTCAGTTTACAAATGTCTGTTTATAAGAAAACTATGTTTTCTTTCATCTCTCCTACATCAAGTTTAACTTGAACAGAAAAATCTTGGAGAATCTAGGTCATAAGGATAAACACAAAATGAGACTCTGCTTCTAAACAACCATCCCTGGACTTAAATATCT